TCAGTTATCGATCCACATCGATCATCACCTTCCTTTTTGGGACGCCTCCCAACTCCCGGGCCGCCGCTGTCCGCGGTGTTGGATGATCGTGGTCTTGTCTTTGTTTCGTGTGTATGCTGACAGTTTCCTTCAGCGCGAACAACGCAAGCTCGAACTACTCCAGAAGGAGAAGGAGGCCGCGGAACTCAAGAAGCTCGAAGAGGCCGAGGCCGCGCGCAAAGCGGCTGAGCAGGCAGCTGCGTTGCTGAGCCAGGCCGCGTCCGTACCACTACCAGTCGTTCCAGCGCCAGTCGCGGTCGAAGAGACGACGGAGGCCACGGAGGTCGAGGGGAACAAGGAGAACTCGACGGGCAGAGAGGACGAGGGGTCGTCGGACTCGGAGGACGACGGACAGGGATCTGCGCCGTCTCCGCCTTGGATTACGATCGTGGAGGAGGCGTCGACCTGACTCGCTCGTGCGGGCGGTACGATGGTGACCGCGGACGGTGTCCACGAACGGACTGAGGAAGATGCGGAGATCGGCGGTGTCGCTGTCGGTGTCGAGCATGCGGAGGATCTGTCCGGGACAAGCGGAACAGATGGCAGTTGTGCCGTTGTAGCTCGAGCTCGGGCAGCGACTGAGAGGCCCTGGGCGGTTGCGCGCCGGCACGCACGGGGGTTTGGTGTGGTTCCGATGGTCGAGTTATATCTGCTTCATGTCTACTATGTTCTGCTGCAGCTTGCTCTGTGGTGGCGATGATAATATTTGTTTCTGTAGTATATACCAAGTATACACTCACGTTTTGCGACGATCGCGTAGAAACCGTTGATGATGGGAGAGGACCCCGAGGAGGATCAGTGGGCGGCTGATGGGTGACGGGGGGCATGTGGGCGTCGGGATCGGGCGACGGCCGTGGGGCGCTCAAGACGGGTCGCCCTCCCCGGCGCTCGAGGACGAGTTCTTCCTCTTCCCTCTTCTTCCACCTCCTCCCCCCATTCAGGCTCTTTAGCCGCCCCCTCTCCTCCCACTCTTTCCATCCTCCCTCCCCCATCTCTATCTCACAATGGGTTGCGTCCAGTCCTCTGGCATCGACGATGAGGCCAAGGCCCGTGAGTGCTTTCCTCCATCTCCCCGTCAGGTCCCCTATCAACCGTCCCTCCAATTCAACCATTTCTCTGGCTTCTCCGCTCACGCCTCTCCTCAGGCAATGACGAGATTGAGAACCAGCTCAAGCGGGATCGTATGATGGCCAAGAACGAGATCAAGATGCTTCTCTTGGGAGCTGGAGAGTCGGGCAAGGTTCGTCGCTTCATATTGGCCGCATATCCAAGCTGCTCACTCAGCACCACGACACGACAGTCCACCGTTCTCAAGCAGATGAAGCTTATCCACCATGGCGGCTACAATGAGCAAGAGCGGGACTCGTACAAGGAGATCATCTTTTCCAACACCATCCAGTCCATGCGGTACGTAGTTTTCCTTTCGGCTCCACGTTGCCCCTACTGCTGCAACCCTAGTCCTGCATGTTCATCGCACAATGTTTACGTTACTCATCCCTGCCTCCCTCTCTCCACAGGGCAATCCTGGACGCGATGCCGCATCTGGATATCCACCTTTCCCCCCAAAACGACGCGCGGCGCTCCATCGTCCTCTCCCTGCCTGGTCAGATTGAGGGTGACGTGCTCCCGCGCGACGTTGTAGATGCTATCCGCGGTCTCTGGAAGGACCCTGGTGTCAAGGAGGCTGTCGCTCGCTCACGCGAGTTCCAGCTCAACGACTCCGCCATCTACTACTTCAACTCCATCGACCGCATGGCTGCACCGAACTACTTGCCCACCGACCAGGACATCCTCCGCTCTCGTGTCAAGACGACTGGTATCACCGAGACCACCTTCAAGGTCGGCGAGCTCACCTACAAGCTCTTCGACGTCGGTGGTCAGCGGTCTGAACGTAAGAAGTGGATCCACTGCTTCGAGAACGTCACCGCGCTCGTTTTCCTAGTCTCTCTGAGCGAGTACGATCAAATGTTGTACGAGGATGAGAGTGTGGTACGCTTCCCCTTGCGTATCATAGCCTCATGCGCACGTCTCACGTATCGTTGCACAGAACCGTATGCAAGAGGCTTTGACTCTCTTCGACTCGATATGCAACTCAAGATGGTTCGTAAAGACGTCGATCGTAAGTGATTCATCATCTACGTCAACGAGGAACCGCAATTTCCACGACGCTTCACCGAACGAATGCTTACCAAGCTGCCGCCGTTTTCTCTATCATACAGATCCTGTTCCTCAACAAGATCGATTTGTTCGCGGAGAAGCTGCCACGGTCGCCACTCGGCAACTACTTCCCCGACTACGCCGGTGGGGATGACTACGACGCTGCATGCAACTATCTGCTTCACCGGTTTGTCTCGCTCAATCAGAGCGCAGCGACAAAGCAGATCTATGCGCACTACACCTGCGCGACAGATACCCAGCAAATCAAGTGTACGTATCGTCTCGTCAGCTGCTTCGGATTGACTAAGTGCTGATAACTGTTTGTTGATATTGCCCTCGTTCGTCGTCTGGACATCGCATATTGGCATCTGTTACATCCTTCGCCACTGTGCTGTGTCTCCATTGCCTGGGTCCTTCGGAACATCCATGGCGTCCCGATAGTCGTCTTGAGCGCGATCCAGGATATCCTTTTGCAGTTGCACCTGCGGGAATGTGGCCTGCTGTAGTTGGGTGGAGGACGGACGGTTAGTTGTCGAGTTGTCGGTCGTCTGCAACGGTCGCTGCTCTTCGACGTCTTTATCCTCTGTCCCTCCTCGCATCCGCATTCCTCGTCATGTGTTCCATCATCTAGTCTCGGTGTCCATGGCCCTCATCATGATTTCCTAGCCTCGCTGATGCGCCTCTGGGCGTGACGCGCTACGCCGGGCACCGCACTACCACTGCATACTGTACATAGTTGGAAAATTCCCCCCGCTCCATACGCCAGGATCCATGGCACACCCTCGTCGCTCCTTTCATGCCACATGCCGCTGTGATCTCGAGCACACACCATCATCAACTCTGCCATTACTTCGATCCATAACACTTAATTCTTTCACCTGCACTTCTCTCTTCTTTTCCTCTTACTTCCTCCTCTGTGGTTGTGCTCATGTCTGGATGTGTCAGGATCGTTTGTTCTTGTAATGACCTACGTAGCCTTTTTGTTCTGTTTATACCTTTATCAGTTTGTGTCTAGTTAGGCTGCTCGTCTCTCTCATTACTCCTCTCTCTACGCTACCGCCACAAGCACGTCTGTCTCAAATGCACACAAGGGTTTGATTGGGCAAACCTCCACCGCCATGACCAGGAGTACGACGGTGAGCAGCTGTCATCACGGCCGTTGACTACAAACCTTCGCACAGTCAACGCGGTGACATTCTGCGCATCCTGCCTCGCCACGGTCCACCTCATCCAGCCACGGGCAGCCAATCTTGAAACACTTCGCGACGCGATGCCGCGAAGTGTTCCGGAGTCCGCTGGGTAGCTGGGCATCGCGTGTGCGTGGTTCTGGTTCGCCGCTTACCTTCCATGCTGACGGGAGAAGCCTTCCAGCGCAATGTCCGCTTATTCCAAGCTCACTTGTTGGTTCACCAGGACGGACGATTGCCGGCATCGACCTCTAGAACCCCGCAAGACCCGTTCTCGGCTTCTCTGACACGCATCTCCTCCTGCCCGCGGGAAATCGGAAGCGGTCGCTCTAGTGTCCATCTCCGAGCGGTGCCTGCCAGCAAGTATATACTCTCGCCAGTCCATCCATCGATGGTGCCACTCGCGGGCTCATGCGAGCTCCCATGGCTAACGAATGCATGCGCACAGTTTGAGTGCAAAGATCCAGTGCCCGTGGTTGCCAAGTGGTAGTAAAGTTCAAGTGGCAAGATGGACATTGGAGACCGGTTCCCTCCATCAGGTGCACCACAGTCCTCCGTCACGCGTCAAGAGTCAACGCCGTTGCAAGCGGTTGCGATGTCCCAGGAACTCCGCAATATTTTGCCGTGTCCGCAATAACACCTGTCTGATGCCGCCGCTAGCCACGGAGTTTGAATGGTGATCATGGTCTCGCTCCTGTTGCCGTCATCCTTACCGGAACGTTCACAGCTCATATGTAGCTCAATTATATTCATTCGTGCGATGTGCGCATCCGCCGCGGCCATTTTCTTCAATTTTGCTTCAATATCACACCGGGTGGGTAGTCGTCGCGTACTTAATCCACGTTGTCTCACCACCCAGAGACCCTTAAGGTACCGTATGCAATTCGCTTTTTTGTCGGCCCTTCCCGTACTTATGTGTATGAATCGGACGCAGCTACATATTCAACTGCTGAGGTTGTTACACGAACCTGCAGACGACCTGTAACCGACCTGCGCACTCAGGCTGGTGAGGCACTGTCAAAATTGCCTAACGGCATCTGTCAGCAAGCGATGTCGAACAAGTACTTATTCCGTGCGGGTACCTATGGCGCTATTTTGCAGAAGGTTTGAGGTCAGTAGCTCTCTTGGGCGTTGAATGACATGACATCTATTGGTTTTGTCTTGCTAGATGGATAAACGCTTCTCTTGTAGGCCTTCTGGAACTCATCGGATTCACTTCAGACTCCTTACAGACAGTGCACTGTGCGAAGCACATAAAAAATTAGGTTCGTCGCAAACCCCACACCCCTTGTGCACTAGCTTTCCGCCTGCTCAAGACTTCTTAGTAGACTTGATCAAGTTGCCGCTGCGAAACCACAACGGACTGTCCAGTTGAATACAACTCGGGCAAGGGTGAGTAGAGGCGAATGCGCAATGCGCATGATGGACCCGTTCAGATCTGCCTTCGTGGGTGAGACCGTGCTGCTGTTCATCATCACGTGTGATGTCGTAGCAGCACGAGCAAGTGCTCGCCAGGGCCAGTGGGTATGCGCGTAGACTCTAGAGCAAGTCGCGAATGATTCATCTGCAAGCTAGGGGCATGCCCCATGTCATGTGTCGATGGTGTGGTTCCACAACGCCCGCCTAGCTCAATCGGATAGAGCGTCAGACTCTTACGAGTATCTCGGGTGATTACGATCATGTGTTAGGTGATCTGAAGGCTGCGAGTTCGACCCTCGCGGTGGGCTACAGGTTTTTATGTCAAACAGAAGAAATTGCGTCCGGTGGGCAGAGGACTGGTGTCATGTGACAGAGCGGCAGAATGCTCTTCCATATCAGGTAGTGCAGACGCCCGTTACACCTGGTGGAGGGTGGATCCGGATGTCACTCTTTTGCTGTGTGTTCACAAGACCTTCGATCTCGCGAATGTAACAATCAGCAAGCGTCTCCTAGGTCTGTGAAGTATGGAGTCATCTGAGAGCCCAATGCCCTATAAAGGGGAAAAAAACGACACCAGCAGGATTTGAACCTGCGCCCGCAGAGCGGAACAGATATTCGAGGGTATGATTCGAATCTGTCGCCTTAACCACTCGGCCATAGTGTCTTGGAGGCTTCCCAGTAGACAGGATATATTGCCTGCTTTTGTGAGGGTGAGCTGCAAATCCATCGTATGTATTCAAGTATACTTGGAGGAACTGACGTGGGCACTATACATGAGGAATATCAAGCAACCGGACAACCGTACTAAAAGTACTCATACCCATACAGGATCTTTATGTTGAACAAAATAGCGAGGTTACGGCTCGAGCTACGGACCAGTACTCGTCTACTCATGGCTCTGCGACCTAAGCCATATTTTCACCTACGACGCTCCCTTCACGGCCTCGATGAACGCCTGCACCCTCGCCGGGTCCTTCGCAGACCCGTCCTTGAGCTCCACACCACCGCTCACGTCCACCGCCCACGGACGGACGACCTCCAAGATCTCCTTCACGCTGTCCGGCGTGAGCCCGCCGGCGAGCATGATCGGCAGCGTCTCCCCGCACCCGACCTCGCCCTTGTCGACGACCGCCTTGGCGATCTCGACGTCGACGCGCGCGCCGGTGCCGCCGCTGAGGCCCGTCGGGGAGCCCTTCGCGACGGCGTCGAGCAGGAGGAACTGGTGCGCGCCGGCGAGCGTGATGCCCGCGAGCCCGTGGCCCTCCTCGTCGACGTGGAAGACGCGGATGACGGGCACGGGGATGTACCGCGCCCACCCGGCCGACTCGTTCCCGTGCAGCTGCACCATGTCGAGCTGCGCCGCCTCGACCGCCTTCAGGATCGTCTCGAGCGGCTGGTTCTGGAACACGCCCACGACGAGCGGCCGCTTCGACGGCTCGCCCGCGAGGGACTCCTTCAGCCGACGGGCGTGCAGGTTGAACCACGGCTCGTTCCCGATGCTCGGAGCGTCCTTTGCGGCCTGCGCAGGCGGCGCGCGCCGCGCGTGGACAGCGGCAGAGATCTTCTGCGCTTGCTCCAAGGAGATGAACCGCTTGCTCGAGGGGACGAACATGAGCCCGAGGAAGTCCGCTCCGGCCTCGCTCGCATGGATGGCCTCCTCCACCGTGCGAATCCCACATATCTTGACCAGCGGCGGCGCAGACTCCACGCTCTTGCCCTTCCCGTCTTCGGGCTCGGGCCAGTGCAGAAGCTGCCGGATGAACGCCTTGGTGTCCTTCGCGCGCATGAGAGCCTCGCCGACCAGGACGGCGTTGACGCCCTGCTCGGTGTAGGTGCGGACGTCCTGCGCGTCTTTGATGCCGCTCAGCGCGCAGAGTACGACATCACGCTCGCGGACCATGTCCACCAGACGGGAGGTCGTCTTCATGTCGACCTCAAAGTCGTGGAGGTTCCTGTTGTTGACCCCGATGACCTTTGCGCCCAGCGCGAGCGCGGCGTCCATCTCGCGCGCGTTGTTCACCTCGACGAGCGGCTCCATCCCCAGCGACCGGGAGTACTCGTACAGAGCGTGGAGGCGGGGCACGGGGAGCATCGCAACGATGAGCAGGACGCTGTCGGCGCCGTGGAGGCGCGCCTCGGCGATCTGGTACTCGTCGAAGATGAAGTCCTTGCGGAGCACGGCGGGGCGGTGGGGCAGGGAATCGATCGCCTGACGAACGAGACGCATGTCGAGGAGCGTGCCCTTGAACCAAGTGGGCTCAGTAAGGACCGAGATGACGGACGCGCCGGCGAGCGCATAAGTCAACGCCTGCTGTGCGGCGTTGGTCGACATCGCAATGGGGCCCTTGGAAGGACTGGCGCGCTTGATCTCCGCCATGAGCGCAGGTTTCTTCGGACCCTGCTTCAGGCGAGAGAGGAACGAGATCGCCGGGGGCGCGATGTTGAGGTTGAGCAGCGTCTCGAGGTCGTCCGGGGTCGTTCCCGGAGTCTGCTTGGCGAGCTCGACGTCCTTGATTCTCTGCGCGTAGATCTTCTCTAGAATGGTAGGAATTTTGGCATTGGACGCGCCGGGGGTGGCATTCCCGAGGACGAGCTTGTCTGCAATGCCCTCCAGCCCGAACGCGGGGAGAGCCTCGTCGGAGACGCGGTAGCCCGGGTTGAGGTCCCAGGTCCCACCTCGGAGGGCCAGGAAGTTCTTGAAGAGGGTGTCGCCACCTTCGGAAAGGATGCTCTCCGGGTGGTACTGGACGGCTTCCAGGGTGTACTTGCGGTGGCGGACTCCCATGATCACGCCGCTGTCTTGGGTGATCGCGGTGATTGCGAGGTCCGCAGGTAGCGTGCTCGTACTCGCACTAAGCGAGTGGTAGCGCGTAGACTTGATGCCCTGGGGCACGTCCTTGAAGCATCCCCTTCCGTCATGGCGGATGGCGCTGACTTTTCCGTGCATGATTTCCCCAGCATATCTAGAAGGTCAAAACATAAGCACGGCAGAAGCTACAGAGATGGGAGATAGAGCAGAGTGCTAGAGAACCCCGAGTGAGTTCAAGTTCGACGTACACGGAGCTTGAAGGATGAGCTTTGGAAGGGTCCATGGTCAGACCAACGAACCGAAGATCCAAGCAGCCCACCCCAGCTCCGCTACACAAGGAATGCCATAGCATGATCAGATGGAACGACGGTGGGCATCTGAGGAGGGACTGGCATCCGAAGAGCTCCCGCACAAGCGGAAGGCTGAACATGTCAAGAGTTGTTCGCGGGAGATAGGCTCGCCAGAACGGACGGAGCGAACAGAACAAGCACCGTGCATGCTACCGTCCGCGCAAAACCGACACGCACGACGAGCCGCGAACAGATTGGCGAGGCAGCACGCTCGCGCAGAACGATCCGAGGGCGACAACTTCCGTTCACGAACCGCGAGACTCCGCTCTGGCACGCGAACCGACCGCGGAGCCCGCACGCAGAGCACAACTGTCAAACAGAGCATGAGACTTTGCAGCGTGCATGCGTCGACGCGAACGATGCGCGGCCGATCACGTCCACAGCGATGCCTGCAAATCACCAGGAGCACCCCCCGCGTCCTTCTCCGCGTCCTCCGCACCCGAGAGCGGATGCCGCGCGTGCGCCCCGCCCCGCCCCCGCCCCACGTCCGCCGGGGCCGCACTTCCCATCGTGGCCCACCAGGATCCATCCTCTTCCCTTCCTTTGCCTCCTCCTTGCCTCGATGCCCACCCCAAAAGAATCAAAGGCTCTGCCGCCCGCCCAGGACCGCCAAAAACAGCATCGCCCGCACCGAACCCAGCCCGCTTCACTTCCAAGCCCCAGCGCACGCACGCGACTCACCCGATGTTGCCCCCAAAGACGTCCACGAGGCACTGCAGGCCCATGCACACCCCAAGGACGGGCACCCTGCCCGTGAAGAACCGGATCGCCTCGCGCGAGATGCCCGAGTCCGTGGCGGGGTGGCCCGGGCCCGGGGAGACGATGAGCGCGTTGAGCTTCAGGAGCGGGAGCGCGGCGGGCGCGAGCGCGTCGTTCCGCACCACCGTCACGTCCGCGCCGAGCAGGCAGAGGCTCTGGTAGATGTTCCACGTGAACGAGTCGAAGTTGTCGATGAGCAGCACGTCGAGCGGGCGCGTGAGCTCGAGCGGGAGCACGCTGAGGGGGGCGGCGGCGGCGGCGGCCATCGTCGAGCTTCGGTTTCAGGTCGCTTGCGGGCTGGGTACTGGCTGGCTGTGCGAGTGGACGCAGTCGAGATGGCCTGCGCTGCAGATGAGTCGAGGGGGGGACAGATGAGTCAGGGAGCAAGGGGCGTGTTGGCGATCCAGAACGGATGCAGTCAGTTAAGTATGGCCCAATTGACCGAGGCGCGCAATCCGAGAAGGTGGCGAGCCTGGAGAAGAGGCACCTGGTGACCGATCGAGGGCGCGCGAAGGGACGTCCGAGTCGGAGGTGGGAGGGCACAGTTGAGGTCGAGGACCAGACTCGGACTCGGAAGTGCCTCCGCACCGCAACTCAACTTTTATGACCCTAACCCTACCGTCCCTCGATCATCAGATAGAAGGTGCAAAGGCGCACAAGCTGAGGACCATCCACGATGGATAGACGAAAGTAGAGAGTCTACAACGTACAGGTTCGTAGTAGAATACACAAGGCCCCCGGAGCGCTCATCGGAGGTTGCCCCACCAGCGTTCAACGGGCTGCATAATAGAGCCCTTCGACAGCCACGTTCGCCTGCCAGATGCCAACTCTCCTCGCCAACCGCAGGACAGCCGGGAGCGGGACGACGGTCGCGGCCGCGACCGGGGTGAGCACGAGGAAGAAGAGGAACATGAGCACCGTGATGCCGGGCTTGATGACCAGGAAGTAGAACAGCGCCTGGTAGCTCGTGGGGTCCGTGAACATCGCGTACGCGTTGCGGTAGAACGATGCCTCCTGCACGAGCACACTCGCGGGCACGCCCGCCTCGAGCTGCGCGGGCGTCGGCGGACGCATACGCGTGAAGATCGGGCGCGGCGGGTGCGGGTGCGGGTACGAGAGCGGCCCGTGGAACGTGGTCTGGAGCGCGAGCTCGCCACGGGAGAGGATGCGGGCGCCGAAGAGGTCCACGAAACAGAAGACGGCGCCGAGGGGCAAGGCCATGAGCGTGCATGTACCCACCTGTAGAACATGGAAGATCAGAGAAGCACCGTGTCGTGCGCTGATAGAGACGTACCAAGGTGAAGACGAAGCAAAAGATCCAGCAGAGGAGGGCGTACGGGAAGTTGATGACGAGGATATGGAGGAGGGAGGAGTAGTACGCCCGTATCTT